CACCACCGTCAACGTCCACCACCACCCTTCACCACCACCCTCCACCACCACCACAATCGTCCATACACCACCACCGTACACTACCACCATTAATTTATATAGCAGTCTACAGACATTAAAAAACAAACAGTCTTCTTCTTGCAGACCGCAGACCTTCGGTCCACCACTTCTCCTGCAGAAGTCTACAGTAGTGGTCCGCAGACTGCAGACCTTTTCCTGCAGAAAAAACAAACACCCCCTTAGTCTCCTTCGCTTTGAAACCAAAATTGTTTTGTCCCTTAGTAAATGGCTCAAACATGACGTTACTTTTAAAATTGTCACTATGTTTTTTGTATGAATTCGTAAAATTAAGTAAGCAGTCAATTACAACATAACCCGTAGAACAAAACGGTTATTATTCAATGAAAATAATCCTCTATTTATTGGATTTGGACACTTTTGTACAAATCAAAACAGCATTGAAAAGGACCTTTTTTTGCGACTGAGGCTGCACTAGTTTTATTTTTTCAACACCTCCACCAAAAGCATTCCAACCAAGTGCAATCCCAATTTTCAAAGCAACAATTAAACAGAGCCTTCTATTCATGATTTTCTACTTGGAGCACGTGAATCTCTTTCCTTGCTAACTTCTCTGCATGCATATTTTTATTTTGGTTACCAACTCCAATATAGAAAGTGAATGAATGATACTAAATGACATTTATGCCCTTTTATCTCACAGGTGGTGTCTATGCTCTGACAGCCATTATGCAACAATCAATGATGGCAAGCACATCGTCTCTGGAAGAGGACTGGCGGTAAAGTTCGAGGTATGTATGCTACTCTTTCTCATATGGCCATAAATGAGTATGACTCGGCTCGGCAAAGAAAATTGACGGAGAAGGCGTGAAGAAATGTGCTCTGCGACTTGGCTCTGTGTATTTGTATGACTGGATGAGTGGAATATATTAAATTAGGGAATTGATTGGATAGTTAGATAGCGTGAAGAAATGTGGTCTGCGACTTTGGGCTGTTAAGTTTTGTGCTTGAATTTATTGGATAGTTAGATAATATATTAATATATTAAAACTAGCATTGCACACACTACATGTGTGGGTGCCCAGGCGAAAAAGAGGTGGGCAAAGTAGAAACACCTACATTTAAGTGTAAACAAACATATTGGATAAAGAGAAGTTTATACACATGTTTTGTTCTTAAGATCAAACTTTCTATTGCGTAAAGAGAAGCATACCATATTTTTTACAAGATGGATAGTCTGTTGCATATAAGTCAAAAAGTTTCCTGGCTTATTGACATACAGAACCATACCAAATATTTTATAAGAGGGATGTTGAACTGCATTTTTTTAACTACATGTGTTTCTATTCACAGGTCAAACTAACTCTACTTTATTTATACATTTTCATAGACTATTTGATAAAATAAAATAACCTTATCACTGTTAGAATATGTGCCCTTCACTAGAGGGGGGGGTGAATAATGAGGCACGAGAATGTTTATAAATTTTCGCGGAATAAAAATCGCAAGGATAAAGTAAAGAGCAGAATAAAAAAGAGTAAAGGGAGCACACCAAGATTTATACTGGTTCACCACAACGTGTGGCTAGTCCAGTCTCTCGAGAGACTCTCTCGAGCTACACTACTTCCGTTAAGCTTACGGGTGCTTAACAAACCGTTACAACCTGAGAACTCAAGTCCCACAAGCCTCAATACACTTGCTCGGAGATACCGCACTCCAAGACTTCAACCCGAAGGAATATGCCCTTCCTTCGTACAACCTAGGGAACAAACCTCCCTTAAAGTGTTCACAACACTTAACCACTCAAGAACAAAAACTCTCTTTAAAGAGTAGAATATGAGTAAACTAATTTAGATCAAGAACACACTCAATTCCTCAAGAAATGGCTCTAAAAAGCTATGTAAAAAGTTTATGAAATGATGCAATGTAAAGCTATGAAATGTGTGAGGAATGGATGTTCAAAGTAGACCCAAGAGACCCCTTTTTATACCCAAAAACAAGGTGCAACGGTTGGGAGAAGATTGGGGTTGATTGGCTTGATTTGTGGAAATCAAATAAAAGTGGATCTGCTGAAATCTAGTCCGACAGCGCTGTTCACTAGTGAACATCACTGTTTTGGATTTGACTTTCCTTTAAAAATGGCTAACGATCATCAAAACATCGATGTCTAGAAGTCTACATCGATGTTGGGGTGTTTGACTTTCAAAAATGGAAAGATTTTGTCTTAAATAGCCCAACGGACATTTGAAAACAGCGCTGTTCAACCATGAACATCGCTGTTCAAAAACTTACTGCCCAGGGCTTCTGAAGGCCAACATCGCTGTTGGGATTTCCGACATGCATGTTGGGATAGTTTGCCAGAACCATGGGTTGGCAGCCAACGCCGAAAACCGATGTCAAAAACCAAAGTTCTCCAAAATGAAAACCAAGTGTTGGAAACTCATATAAAATGTATTTAATGTAGAAACCAAGTATAAAAACTTAAAAACCACTTCATTAAGGTAAAAATCACGGCTAGCCAAGTTTATGTCGTTTCACATGGTTTTCACCAAAAGACCAAAAACGAAAGGTGGTTTTTAAAATGTTTTTGTTGGAGAACCATTTGGATATGTCCAGAAGTAAAAACCAATCATAAAATCTTAAAAACCACTTGATTGATTTGGGCACCAAAAACCAACACCGATAACCGGCGCCGAATGTCGATAACCAATGCCGAAAAACAAAGGTTATGGTTTTTGAAAACTAATCATTTGGAAAACCTTTAAATGTGTCAAGAAGCATAAACCAAAGATAAAAACCCAAAAACCATTTGGTTAAAATCAATGCCAATAACCAATGCCGAAAACCGAACGCCATAGCTGAACGCCGATAACCGATGGTTATGGTTTTTGTTAAGCAAGAACCATGGGTTTTAGAAACTTAAAAACCATTTATGAAAACACTAATTTGATGCATGAAAAACATATTTTGTTTTGAGCCATGACGTAGAGAAATTAAATGAGCTTGTTACAATAAAACCTAAGTCTTTAGAATACGTCTTCAAAGCGCCAATGTCGACATCTTTAGCAACGTCAATGCCTTTCTTGTGCTTTTTGTTTCTTCAAAGAACTTTTTCTATCTCTTTGAATCTTTTCATTTTGTTCCATGTTCCCGATGGTTTGTCAATATCAAAACCTAAACGAAAACAAACATTGTCATTAGCAAAATGTCAAAGTGAAAATGTTTTCCAACAATCACCACTTGTTTTGTAGAATTTTTGATGTAGTTTTTTAATAAATAATTTTTATTTTTAAATTCCACACCAATTTTTACTTGTATTGATTTGAAATAGTTTCAGTCAAACATCGTAAACCAAATCAGAGCCCTATTTTGGGACAGAGGGAGTATATCATGCAACAGAGGTATGTCTAGTCTAAGATAATGTCGTGTAAATAAGGCTCATAAAGAAGTTCAATTAGATTATTTAGATAAAAGTATTAAAGTGCAAAGTAAAGCTAATTGTTGTGTATATACGATGTTTTAATCCTATTGGTTCATGTGGTGAGTTTCTACTTTGTACGAATACCTTTGGCTCTTGTAAGAGACATTTGTTGCATTTAATTTTCACTTCTGATATTAAGAGATGTGTTCAATAAGAAACAATTACTTGTAAAAAGTAACTGATTATATCTCAATACCATAACAGAATATTTTAAATTTATTAAATCAAATTTACAAAAATAAGAGGTTAATCAAACTTAATTAAGTGGCTTTTCCTTAGCACTTTTATCAGTTTTGTCATATCTATTTATGTTCAAATGAAACTTTACAAAGTTTTGATGTGTGAATGCCTATAAGAGCTGTGCATCACACTTTTGAAATGAAACAAAATTTTAGAGATTTACTTTTGTTATTGGCTAAAAAACGTAGTGTTCACCCTCAACCAGTTTTTGAAATATTGTTTTTGAACAATACTCAATGATTGTTCATACTGTTCACCCTTACTGAAACCACTTAATGTCAATCAGATTTTTTGAAGCATTGATAAACATATTATTGATTTAATTCTCTTCCCTTACCCTTTTTGAAATCAAAGAAAAGTGTAAACTTAATCCATGGACTCATAATTCAAATAAAATCAAATGAAAGTGTAAAAATTCCCAACAAGGAATCAACAGAGAGAAGAGAAGAAAAAAAGAAGAAGAAATTAATTCTCTTGAAAATCAATTTGACACTAATTGATCAAGGTGTATGATTTAATTTCAATCTAAGCACGTGCAATTGAAATGAAACAGGGAAGAATCTAGTTGAAGGAAGAGATGGAAAAAAGAAAATAAATCTTTACGTGGAGGCCGAAGAAGAAGCCCTAAAGTGCGAATTGGTAGTGGAAAAAATAAATAAGGGCATTGTGGTCATGGGGCGGTGACGAAGATCAAGATTGTGGGGCGGTGATGGGAAGGGATGTCGGGAGAATGAAACGGCTACAAAGGAGAAGAAAGATAGGATGGAAGAGAGACGGCGATATAGCAGAGAGAGATTACGGAGGAGACGGAAAAAGTACAAAAAATAAAGGAGTAAACGTTCTAGGGTCTTATAGTATTAGGGGGATATACCTGTCCGGAGCGAGTATTTCCAGGTTTAGACCCGACCGGACCGGAACCCGGAATTCCAAATTTGTGAAGACTGGAGACCGGAACTGAATCTTTCAGATAGGTCCATTCTTGTCCGGTTCAGGTCTAAATTATGATCTGGACTTGTTAATGCACAGCCTTAGCCGTAACATGATACTCTAGTGCTCTTAAATGACACCTCTTGTTGAATAATCAATTATTTGTTGAAAGTTTGAATTGGTTTTCACTTCACAGTGTGAACTGGTGGATGGATCATTATTGATGTGACTTATGCCATGATTCTGAGGAGGATCCGAACCCAAATGCAGCAGGTGCCAGGTGCTCATTGGTGCCATGAATTGGCATAAAGTGACTGTTTGGCTCAGCTAAACCTCAAGCCTCCCTAGGAAAAAAAACTGATTTTTGCATAAAATCAAGTACTCCCTCCGTCCCGGAGTATTCGTCCAGTTTTGACTTTTGGAACTGTTCATCTAAGCACTTTGACTCATCAAATTCTCTCTATGTGTAAGCCTAAATATAGTCATGCGTGATCTTGTTTGATTTGTCTTAACATATAGATTATTAATATATAATTTCTATAATTTTTTAATATACAAATTACAAGATAAAATGGATTAAAGAAGTGTATTGGATGATGTGTAAAAACGAAAGTGGACAAATACTCTGGGATGGAGGTAGTAGTTTTTTTCTGCCTTCGAGGGTAAGCCCAAAGAGGGTCCTAGATTTTGTTCTTGTCGTGCTTGGTCTCGGTGAAGAATTACTCTTTCAACGTCTGGTGTTTGTACCAGGTATACTATTAAAAAAAGTATGGACAAGAAACGAAGTATTTCAAAGATTACAACTGGAGCAGCCGTGAATGGATGAAGGAAGTCAAGCGACCAACAGTGGATGGTGCACTTACTAGCAGGGGGAGGAGGGGGAGGAGGTGTTGATTGGAAGGAGTTTTGAGGATCTTTTTAATAGCATGAAAAGAAAGTTTTGAGGTTGCTTTCTAGGCCTATGAGTCTTTCCAAGGGGAATTTCATAGTGAATGTGGATGTTTTAGGGGAACCATTTGTGTGAGACCTGACCTGCAATTATGGATGCAGACACATTATTGACTTTTGGGTGCTGAATAATCAATTATGGAGTGCAATGGATGGTGTAGGCTGGGGATTTTGCTTTTTTCCCCTTCTAAATCCAAATCCACACAAATCATGCTTCTTTTGGGTATGTCTTCTGCCTTGTAGACTTGTAGCAAAGAACTAGGAACAAGCCATATGGTTTGGATATCCAGATATCACTGTCTAAGGTATGCCCCCAAGTTAATTACTCCCTCCGTCCCAAAATTTAAGCAACAGTGACTATTTCGGCCCCTCAATAATTTTTGTTTGTTTACTCATTTTGATTACCATTTGATATTTTATAAAACTTTTAATTTATTTTTGAACGGTGTAATTTTTACTTTTTATTTATCTACTAATTTGTAAATAAAATATTTTTAAAAGAAATAGTTTTTCTACCAAAAGATGATTGAAAAATGGATAAGAAATGTATGGTGCGAAGAGTGATGATGTATAAATGGGGTATACTTTTTGTGTATCCCATGCTATAATTCCATTATAGTTGATTAATATGAAAAATGTCAGTATAATTAAACAGTGAAAAAGTGAAAAAGAAATCCGTGAAAAAGACTCTCAAGGAACAAGAGAAATGAAAACATAAACAATGGAAGATATAACAATAAAACCATCCTCTCCTTGTTGAATAACATGAACCACACTTTGACAATTTAAGATAACTTTTTCCTACCATATACTCCTTGCATTCAATCAAGAAAGTGCTTCCTTGGAAGCCATAGCTCTCATGAACAATAGGCTATGCAAACACTACAATCCTTCTATCACGATAACTAGAACTACACACTCCAAAAAAAGAACACTCAAAAAGAAATAACTCACACAACATTCAATTGAGGAAATAAACCTGCATCCACCAAACGCATGTGTGCAGTGCCCTTGCGGCGTAGCCACAAGCATATGCTTCATCTCCTCTCTCGACCCATCTATGGTGGTTGTTGTGGAAACGATACCTTTGGCTCCCACACCGTCATATTTTTCTAGGTTCGGTTTCATCGCACACTCTTCATGCCGTGAGCCATAGGTCACGATGAATCGGGTATTGTCTTGTTTGGTAACATAGTTCTCATTAATTAGTGTTAATATTTTAGTTGATTTCTCAACAATATAGATTAACTTTGAAAATATTAATTTCTTCAAAGAGTTTTTTTAAGGGTGGTGATAGTCACACCCCATCCAAAAACTAGCTTCACTCCACATACTAAATTCACTCCATTAGTTTCAAAATTATTTTTAATACTTATTAAAAAAATATTTTTAATCCATGAACTCATATACAACATTTTGCAATTTTAATATTTTGATAAAAGTTCTAGTTTGAATCATAAGATAATAATAGCTTAATAATAATATTTTTCTACTAAATACGTAGTATATTTTAATTATTAAATATGATATCTTTTTAAAATAAAAATTTTAGTTTTAATAATAATTTACATTCATTAACAATTATATAGATGTATGCTATTGAAAATAAATAAAAGAAAATAATGATGAACAATTTTAAAGATTATACTCCGTATAATTTTTTTAAAGTAAAATTTATATAACCTTCTTTTTAAAATAATAAAATAACTATGTAGATTGAAAAATGGTGAAATACATATTGATATAATACTTAGAAAATAGAAGATTTTATACAAAATCAATGGTCATTCAATGTATTAACAATAAAAGTTATTTTAATTAATGAAATATTAAAAGAAGAGGCGCCAAAGTTTTATAATTAAAATTAAAACTAAAATATATATTATTTTATTTGAAAAATAATAAAATGAACTAAATGATGAATAGTTTTAAACATTTTTCATAATATCTTTCTAACATAGTAAAGTTATATAACTTTTTTGAATAATAACATAATAATATAGTCATGATGCATTTAGTTGACGGGTGTATTCAGTATTTTAACGGGTGTGACTATCACACAGTAGTAAGTTTGTCAAATTAGCTAATAGATATATGAACTTTTTTTTAAATTTAGAAAGTCAAAAACTTTGTTCAAACTTTGGTTAGAACCAAATCATTTTGTACGTTTGATAAATAAAAAATATATGAACGCATACTATATTTAATGACATTGATTTTCAATGTCAAAATTAAAATGAGAGGTGCAATTGAAGGAAGTGGAAGGGTGTATTTGGGTTAGAGAGGGGTGAGGGGTTTACCGAGGAGGTTAGAGCGGGTAAGAACCATCGATTTTACGAATGGGGCACCGAAACACCCCGGGTCACAATGTCAAGAACCAAGGGGTTAATAAAATTATTAGTTTAAAAAATGAAAGGATAATCCAATTTATCCATTGGGAATCCTACAAACGGGTGGGTTGACTCAAAGCAGTGATCCATGGGCACCCAGTCCCGATCTTCCCAACAATGGCCGCCATTTTCGCTGCTTCTCATCTTTCCCTTTTCAACACTCAGCTCCCCACTCTCTTCATCTCTGCGCCGCCGGTTTCTCTTTCCCTCCACCGTCTCCGCCGAATCCCTTCCATTTTCACTGCCGTTCGAGTCCAGCAACAGATAAAGGATCAGCTCCGCTGGCGCCGCAGCAGCATCAATTTGACGGCTATGCGGAGGATGAATCCTACGGCGAGGTTAACAGGATCATCGGTAGCCGGGCAGCCGAAGGCGAAAGAGGGATGGAATACCTGATCAAGTGGAAAGACGAACACGCCCCGACCTGGATCCCTTCCGATTTCATCACCAAGGACGTCGTCGCGGAGTACGAGATCCCCTGGTGGACAGCCGTCAAAAAGGCCGACAAATCCTCCTTGCAGGAGCTCCTAAACGCCGGCGACGGTGGGAGGGACGCAGACGCCGTGGACGAGGACGGGCGCACGGCTCTACTCTTCGTCTCCGGGCTTGGATCCGAGGATTGCGTCAAATTGCTCGCCGAAGCAGGGGCGGACGTGAATCACAGAGGGCGGTTTGACGCCTCTGCACATGGCGGCAGGCTATGTCCGGCCAGGAACAGTGAAGATTCTGATCGAACTCGGAGCAGACCCCAAGGCCGAGGACGACAAGGGGCAAACCCCCCTAGATCTGGCGAGAACAATCCTGAAGAAGCTAACCCCAATGCAATTCGACCAAAGGCTAGGGTTGCAGAAGGTGATTGGGGTTCTGGAAGATGCAATGTTTGAATTTGCAGAAGTGGAGGAGATAATGGAGAAGAGGGGGAAGGGGGAGAAGGCAGAGTACCTGGTGAAGTGGAAGGACAGAGAGGCAAACGAGTGGGTGAAACGCGCTGCTGTAGCTGATGATCTGGTGGGCGATTTTGAGGCGGGGGTGGAGTACGCGGTGGCANAGAAGAAGGTGGAGTATTTGGTGAAGTGTTCGGACATGGAAGAGGCAACTTGGGAGCCCGGAGAGAATGTCGATCCTGCATTGATCATCGAGTTCAAGAAGAAGGATCAGCACTTATGAACCAACATTGACAAGCTATGTTGCACGGGTTGTTCCGATACTCGAATTCTTTGTAAAATTTTGGGAACAAATATGGAGTTCACATTTGTTCAACTATATGGATATGTGTTCGAAAATACCCCGAACTTCAAGCAATCCTTTGTAGAAACAGATGTTTTTGCGTGAACACTCATGTGTGGTCATTGTTTTTCATCTATATAAATATAGATATGGTGGTATGGTTGATGCATTCGATTTTGAAGTGCTCTTTCTTGATTCAATATCTTATTTGATTAAACAATTTTTGTATACTCCGAAATAACTTTAATCTGCGATTCGTTATACTCTATCATGTTCATCTCGTTCTTCATTCACATAACTCTTTAATACTGTTTCACAATATTCTTCCTCCATACAAAATTCTTACACGTTCATGTTTGCGACTCCATCCCTTTACACTCTTAAGGCCTTTTGCTCATACTAGTGATGAAATTGTGTTTGGTTGGGTAGTTGATATAAGGTCATCGAGAGGCGAGAGCCCAAAAACGAGGAGGGTCGTGCAATGACCGTTTTAGTTTGCCTTTTGCTAATACTAGTGTCTAACTCGCGTCTAGTTAGACAGTTATTGTCCGGTCATTGAGAGCCCAGAACGAAGAGGGTCATGCTGTGAACATTCTTGTTTGACCCTACAATTGTGGGTGATGCTACATAAAATTGCACACTTTAAGTTCTTTGTCACGTTCTTCTAGAAAAGGTTAGGAGACGTAAAAACTGATAATTTTACAAATGAAATAGTGTAAGTGTTTCAAATGATTTATTCCAAAAAAAGAGGCCAAATTAAGGAAGTACGTATACCTTAAACCATATCTCACTTAAACTATTTTTTACATAGTTGAAAGTTAGTAAAGTTACTATGTCTTAATTTAAAAATGACTATATAAATCTTTTCCAATCATATTTTTATACTCGTTAATTTTTGAACTCTTTAAAAGTTAAACAAATTTTTTTCCCACATGGGGAGTATAAGTTAAACCTTATTCTTTTTAATTTATTTTATCAACTTATTACTTGTACTTGTGAAAATCACACAAGTTATATCAATAACACCTTTAAATTATATCAATGATAAATTCTTACGTGATACTAAAGTTAATGTTCATTTTATGAATCTTAGTGTAATGACATCATAAAATAATTGAGACTTTTATAAAAAAGAAAAATTCTATTACCAGTTCATGAAAAATATAAAAACTTAGACTATGTGTTATGAGACTTGATCCATGGGCGTGAAAGAGGCGTCACGTCCTGTCACAGCGTGACCACCGCAACACGCGGGCGTCAGGGAGGCGTGACAATTAAGCTGGGCTTGATGGCGCTCACGAGCGTTGCCTCTCTTTTTATTTCTTTTAAGGCATGTTTGGGAATTTAGATTTGGATTTCAAATCCGGATTTGGCTCAAATTCCTTGTTTGGGAAATTTTAAAAATTTAGATTTGGATTTGAGTCAAATTCGTCTAGTTCATAACAATGCTCAATTTTAAATCCATATACCTTTTCTTGTCATTTGAAATTCAAGACTTCAAATTTTGGAATTGAAATGCATGAATTGAAATGAAATGCTAGTTCCCAAACACTACCTTAAATTTTTTCTATTTTAAACCAATCAAAACTTAAGACATCTTCACACATCATCACTTCTAATCATATTCACCTTAACACATTTTTTCATCATTCCACACTATCCAGTATTCATATCACCTCTTCCTTGAAAAATTTATATCAATTTTTATAGAGTAAATTCCATAAAAGGTCCCAGTTATAGCTCGTTTTACATATTTAGTCCCTACATATCAAATATTACTAATTTAGTCCCCAATTATTATATTTATTACCATGAATGGTCCTTTGTTAACATTTTCATTAAGAACGTGGATGAAATTGTAAATTCACACTTTTTTCTCTCCTCAATTAAGCTTTTTCCCTCCCCTTGCACTCCTTTTCCAAACGCGTCGCTGAGTTTGAAGCTTTGAACCCAAAACTAAAATCATTACTCTTCTCTCAATTGTTTGTCTAACTGGTGGAACCCAAATTCGAAACCAGTAACCTTCATGGATGAGTTTTAATATTTACGTAATATTTTTTTTGCAATTTCTTAAGACTAACTGACCTCATCCATAATACTTATTGGCTTTGATTTTAGATTCCACCATGAAGACTAATAATTGAGAGAGTAATGATCATTTTAGTTTTGAGTTTAGACCTTCAAATTCAACGACGGGTTTAGGAAAGAATATGAGAGGAGAGATGAAGCTTAATTGATGAGAGAGAGGAGTGTGAATTTACAATTTTATCTATGTTCTTAACGAAAATGTTAACAAAGAACCATTCGTGAAAATGAATGTAATAATTGGGTACTAAATTAGTAATATTTAATATGTAGGGACTAAATATGTAAAACGATCTATAAATGGGGATCTTTTTTGGAATTTAGTCATTTTTATAAGTGGATTAAAAATGAATAAAAAAACTAGTAATAGACACGTAAGCGCAAGATTGAAGGGGAAGAAGATCAAGACACATCTCTGCTTCTACGACATACACGGAAGAATTCCAAGGTCGGATAATCAGTATATGTATATCTTCATAGACATACGGAATATAGGGTAGTGTGATATGGGTTGCTCCTCTTCGGTTCCAGGTAATCCCCAAATTCGAACCCTAATCTTCGTGACTGCTGTAAGATTTCTTCTTCAGCTCAATTGATTCTGTGTTCTCCTCAATTCCCTTCAATGGAGACCAATTGACTTGATTCTCTGTGATAAAACGCGTTTTCTTTGGTGGAATGGTGGCTATTGGTTGAATTGTTTGTTAGGGTGAAGTAGTTTTTGTTTTGTTTTGTTTTGTTTTTAAGTTTTTCTTTTCTCTTTTGATGTTTCTACAGATAGGAGTTTGGGACAGAAGGGAGGTCTTAATCCTGACAATGGTGCTGCAAATGACCCTAAGAATCTCCGCGTGAAGGTATGCTTAGGAGTTTGATTCATTCTTGCTTGAAAAAAAAATTTGGACTGTTTAGAAGGAAAAGAAGTACGTAATTTAATGGAAAATTAAAAAAAAAATACAAAAATGATAAAGCTATGGTCTTTACTCTTTAGGGATATGATAGTGTTTGCAAGTGGCTGTTTATAGCCATGTGACAGAGGTATGTTGAGCCAATGTTCGAAATTGTGTATTGCGGTTTTGAGGTGTTTTTATGTGAAGGCGTATTGTGTAAGCCTCAATTTTAAAGTTTAAAATTGTGTATATAATATTTTCAAAAATAATATTGAACATTATTAATAACATAATTAATGCATTAACCTTTAAAAAGTATATTGGCAACGTAAAATATCTCACTCAAACAGACAAACACGACAAAGTCTAGCATGAAACAATACAAAATATTGGCCAAATACGCTCTCAATAATGTAGATACAATTTCAAGTTCAAATGACAAATCAGTAGCAATAAAAATAAAAAACAATGACAAATTAGTAAGAATAAATGGTACCTTTAAAAAACATAAATTGGTAAAAGAACAAATCGTGTAAAATAATAAATAATGGAAAAGCAGCTCTTCTAGGAAGGTCAATGCAATGAAAGACAGATGAAAACAGTATAGGAGAGACAATCAAATAGGGTTAGGATCTATTCAGGTAATTTAACTTTTAAATATTGTAATTAAATTACTAATTTGAGACTAACTTTCTTTTTTGGAAAGAAAAAATGGCGTACGCTATTCTATGCCTCAGTGCGTACACCTCAGGATTTATGCAATTGCCCGCCATATCTGCACAATATCTATGCAATCTTTATTGCCTAAGGCTAGGTCGCCATAGGGTGTAATCTTTCGGAAAATGCCATGAGGCATGCCATATGGCGGGTTACGCCAAGCAATTTCGAACACTGTGTTGAGCTGCTAATTTGTTTGCATATACAGTATAGGGAGATGTATGATTTGTCTCCCAAGACAGCTGGGGTGCTTGCCAGATAAGGAAACAAGAAAGGGATTTAGAAATTGATTTATTGTGAGCATGCCAATACGTTATACTTAACCGCTGAACGCTCTGAACCAATCACCATAGCATCTTAACTTTAATTGTTATGTTGTAGAAGTAGAAATGTTCTTTCTGTGTAAGTGGTGAGAAAATGAAAAATAAGGGATTTATGAAAGTATGCGACTTTAAGAACGTTTGGATGCCTCGAAACAAATGTTTACAAAACAGTCTTTCTTAGCTTCCTTTTTATCAAAGCGCGAGTTTTGTACTGCCACACCTAACCTTCACGATGATCTTTGCAGTTGGTATACTGCTGGGTGATTCTGGTGTTGGAAAAAGCTGCATTGTTCTACGTTTTGTTCGTGGTCAATTTGATCCAACATCAAAGGTAAAGCTATCTGACGATGGATGCTAGTTAGAACCTTTCCATTTTCATAGCTTCAGTGTTTCATGTAGAACAATAGATCTCGTAGCACCATTTTATTGTTTTATTGTTTTTTTTACTGTTTTATCTCTATCTGTTTCCCTCGGACAGTTACACTAGAAAATAACTACTCCGTATATGTTTGGTTAAATTGTTTATTTCAATATAAATTTTCAACTTCATTTTCTTTCCAACATATCTGAATGCATTTAATGTAAGAATAAATTGAATAAATATAACGCCCCCTCCACCGCCAACACACACAAACACACACATACACCAAAATCTGTCAACCAAACAAGGCAAACAACGGATAAGTGCATGTTAAATTCTTTCATCTTTTAAATTCCAAACAGTATAGCAGTAGCAGATTTCTAAACCAAATTGTTTTGATGGGTTTAGGTTACTGTTGGGGCTTCCTTTCTATCGCAGACGATAGCCCTGCAAGATTTGACTACAGTTAAGTTTGAGATTTGGGATACTGCTGGTCAGGAAAGGTACCATTTAAATTCCAATATCTCTAAGGACCAGTTTCAATGAAATTAAAGTCTCCTAGTTTTATACAGGCTACTTTGTTGTTATTATAATTAATATTATTATTATTATTATTATTATTATTATTATTATTATTATTATTATTATTATTATTATTATTATTATTATTATTACCATGATCATCATATAGGTATGCAGCGCTAGCTCCACTTTACTACAGGGGTGCTGCTGTTGCAGTTGTTGTATATGACATCACAAATCCGGATTCATTCAACAAAGCACAATATTGGGTCTAGGTAAAACTCTAAGATTATCACGTCTACTAAATCTTTGATCAAGTCAAATACAATGATGTGAGGGTTTCCGTGCTGTGGTGATTGGAGTGGTGCAGATAATGATT